TCTCTGCCACTAACAAGTTATGCAATTTTGGGCAAGAGTTGGAATCCCAACTGGCTCCGTTGTCTTTCTCTGTAAAATAAAAGGTCTTATTCATTCAACAAACACTATGACATACAGCACTGAGCCAGATAATGCCAAGATGGTAAAGTGAGGTGCCAGATTTCCCAGGAAGAGCAGGTCTGTAAACAACCACAGTACTTGTATCAAATCTGTGGCCAGCACAGAGCTGGGTGTTGGAATCCTCAACAGTCTTCATGAGTCTCAATCCTATGACCCAAACTCCAAACCATATTTTCTAAGCACTTAAAGATGCTGGGCTCAAATGTAGCAAAATATGAGGGGGTTTGAACTCCCAGAAAGAGCCTTGAAGACATGGAGGAATGGATTGTAGACCTGAGCAGTCGTCTGCATATTGCTGGATGACTGACATACCAGAGAGAGTCTGCAATCCCAGAAGTGCCTTGCTGTGCTTTCTCTCACTGACAACACTGATGAGATAGCTCAAAAGCCTACAAAAAGGTTTTTGCCCCATGTACATGGGAATCATCTTTCCATTTTTAACAAAATGAAACCAGAAGACAAACATCTCTTTGCTTTATTTATCTTCCGACAGTCCCCACAAAGCTCACAGGAAGTCCTTAACATCAAAGCTTCTTTTTTTTTTTTTCTTTTGCAGTTCTGGGGATGTAACCAGGGCCTCATGCATGCTAAACAAGCTCACTACCACTGAATTATATCCCCAGCCCATGAATGAACTTCCTAAGAGGTGATTTCCAGAGTCAAAGCAGGTAGTGATGGAAAAAGAGAATAACATGGCTCAATTGAAGTGACAATAAAGTCCAGATGATTGATGTCCTCCCGAAGATCTGTTGAGATTTCACCTGAAAAACATAAGATCTGTATTCATTTCAATTGCTGCCTAGCAATTACCACAAACTTAGCACTTTAAAACAACACAAATTTATCAGCTCACAGTTTTCATATATGAGGACACTGAATATGGCTTGGCTGAGTTATATGTCTAGGGTCTTACCAGGTAAAATCAAAGTGTTGGCCAGGGCTGAGATCTTTTTTGAGACTATGAGTTTGGACTCTTCCAAGCTCACTGATGATTGGCAGAATCCAGTTCCATGCAGTTGCAGGACTCAGAATCTCAGCTCCTGCAGGCCATCTGTGGAATTCTACCATGTAGTGCTCTTCACACATAGAAGTTTGCTTTTCCAAGGCCAGCAGAAGTGTCTCTCTTCTTTTTGACCTGTAGATTCTCTTTTAAAGGATTCACTGGATAGGTGGACCTGGAAGAGCTCCCTTTTGGTTACTATCAACTCATTAATGACCTTAATTGCACTTGCAAAATTCCAGACCTTTGCAGTAACAATCATGGGAGTAATAGCTCATCACCTTTGCCACATGTCATGGGTTAGAAACAAAA